AACATATGAGTGAGATCATATGGTGTTTGTCTTTCTCTGATTTATTTCACTTAGATTACACAGATTACATCTGTGTTGTTGCAAATGGCATAATTTCATTCTTTTTTTATGGCCATGTATGAAATATTTTTTAAAATTAAAAAATTTTTTTTAGTATGAAATATTTTTAAATGAGTAATATCTGGGCCTGGAGGCACCAGATGTGGAGGTGCACTGAGGATGCCAAAGCATGTACAGCCTCTGTGGACTTCCCGCTATAGTCACCAAAGATTACACAGCTCTTGGTGTTGTGGGTCCAACAACCTGAGCTGATGAAGTCATTACCGCCACCCCCCCCCCCACTAACCTGGTCCCTACACACACCCTTAAACCTGGAGCCTCCAACATGTCCCCACCCATAGGTGAAGGTTTTTCCTTACCAAAGTCAGTCCATAAACCTGGAAGAGGTGACTGCTTCTTCAAAGAAGCAGACACATACCCAAGGCTACAGGGATCATGAAGAATCAGGGAAACATGACATTACCAAAGGAATAAAGTAAATGTCCAATAACTGACTTTAGAGAAATTTAGATCCATTAATTGCCTGACAGAATTCAAAATAATTATTCTAAAGATAGTCAGAGAGCTACAAGAGAACACAGCTAAACAATTCAATGAAATCAGGGAAAGCAATACAAGAACAAAATAAGAAAGTCAACAAAGAGATAGAAAAACACAAAAGAACCAAACAGAAATTTTGCAGTTGAGTATGTATCCAAAGGTAATGAAAAACAAACTCTTTTTTTTTTTTAAAGATTTTATCTGTTTATTTGAGAGAGAGATAGAGAGACAATGAACGGGGTTGTGGTGGAGGAAGAAGTAGGGTCCCCACTGAGCAGAAAGCCAGATGCGGGGCTTGATCCCAGGGTCATGAACTGAGTCAAAAGCAGAATCTTAACTGACTGAATCACCAGAAGCCCACAAAAACAAACTCTTGAGAAGATATCTGCACTTCCTGTTCATTGCAGCTTTATTCAGAGCAGCCAAGACATGAAATCAACCTAAATGTCTATCAACAGATGAATGGGTAAATGGATAATGGATATCTATCTAACTATCTGTCTACTTATAGATACACACACACACACATACATACATATATACATATATTACATTTTATTATAACATAATAATATAATATCTATAAAATGACATGAATATTCATGTTATTCAGCCATGAGAAAGAAGGAAATCCTGCCATTTCCAACAACATGGATGGGTCTTGAGGGCTTTATGCTAAGGGAAATAAGTCAGTCAGAGAAAGACAAATACTGTATGATATAACTTATGTGTGGAAATCTAAAAAAGCCAAACTCATAGAAACAGGATAGAATGGTGGTTTCCAGGGTTTCAGGGTAGGTGGGGGAAATGGGGGAGATATTGGTCAAAGGGTACAAACTTCTAGTTATAAGAAAAATAAGTTCTGGAGATCTAATGTACAGTATGGTGATAGTTAATAATATTGTATTATATACTTGGCAGTTCCTAAGAGAGCAAATTTTAAATATTCTCACCAGAAAAAATAAAGGTGGTAACTATATGATGTGAGAGAGATGGTAGTTAATGCTGTGGTGGTAATCATTTTGCAATTTTGTAGGTATTTCAAATCGATACATTGTATCTCCTTAAACTAACACAATGTTGTATGTCTTTTATTTCAATAAAGCTGCAAAGAATACATTTGGGCACATTAGTCACACATATTTTAAAATTTATATCTGATAACTCTGATATCTGGATCATTTGTAGGTTTGTTTCTATTGTTTGATTTTTCTCTTGATTTTATTTTTGGTATGGATTTTAATATTTGTTTGAATACTGGATATTGTAAATAAAACATGGTAGTGGCTTTAGATGATATTACTTTCCTTTAGAAGATATTTACTCTATCCTCCAGCAGTGATATAAAATAAGAATAGTTCTCTTTAATTTTGTCAGAGGCTGAATTCCATGCTTTGTAAGGATTGGTCTGCCTCTGGTGTACTAGGCTATCACCAATCAATACCTTGGACTATTTATTAAAACTTGTCTTCCTATGTGGGTCAGCAACTCTAATTTTTATTTCCCTAGCAGGCAAATCTCTGACAAATTGCATTTCAGATCTTTTCTGTTTGATTTCTTTGTGCTGGTTAAGAACAGGAATGCTCTTGGGAGGATGGGACAAACAGATGCAATGCATTTGTTTGCATTTTCTGCATCTCTGTACTTCCAGGGATCTGGACCTCTCACATTCTATCTTGGCAAAGTAGAGCTCCAAGTTTTGTCTCTTCAGCCCATTATCTTGTTAAAAGCTTTGATGACTTCTCCACACTTTGCAGGCATCTGCTGGACAGCCCCTCCGACTCCCCCCAAGCTTCTCAACCTGTACTGTTGAAGCCTGGAAGTGCCAAGAAGAAACTCATTGCAGGACAAGGGCTTGTCACCACAGAGAGCTCTATTTCCCTCTGGGACCTTGGATGCATTAGGGACCTGGTACCTTAAACAGACTTTTGTTTTGTTTTGCTCTTTTGATGTATTTTATTTTTAGTTGTCCTTGATGGTAGTGTTGGTGTGCTGTAAGCTGCTCTGTCATACCTGGAAGCGTAAAGTCCTTCAGAGTCTATATTTTGACCAAGATTTACCTGAGTCAAAATTCTTTGATCTTTCTACTCTGGCAGAACTCAGTATCTGCTTTGCATGCAAATATACCCTCAAATAGTAATAAAAAAAAATCTGTTGATAAAAGATATACACATACAGACACACAAACTCATAAATTATACCTGGGATTTTCTATTTCTGCTGCATACATCAGAAAGCAGTTGCTCTGGATACTTTTGAAGTAATGGTTTAAGTCCCAATTTAAATATAAATATGAGGGATGCCTGGGTGGCTCAGTTGGTTGGACGACTGCCTTCAGCTCAGGTCATGATCCTGGAGTCCCAGGATCAAGTCCCGCATCTGGCTCCCACCAGACTCCACGGGGAGTCTGCTTCTCTCTCTGACCTTCTCCTCGCTCATGCTCTCTCAAATAAATAAATAAAATATTAAAAAAAATTAAAAAAAATATAAATAGGAAACCAATATCACCACCATGAAAGCCTGGCTTTCCCTCTCTCCTAGGTGGCAGCCAGCTTTTACAGACACACAGAATCACAGTTTCCTGGGGGTCCATTACTACTGCCTGGGGCTCTGGCTCAGTCATTCAGAATGGATATGAGGATGTTCTCACCATTTAGCTATAGCTATGTCTTTATGCTTTCTCCAAAAACCTTATATCTATGGACCCTTCCTCAGTTTTGTGAGGCAGGGATAATCTGTGGAGCTGGATGGAGGGGACATCTCAGCTGCTAGCATGTGGAGCCGCATACGCCTGGGCATAGCTACTCTTTCCCTGTCTGGATCCCTGACCTCTCCCTAGGACTCAGGCCTGCCACTGGCAAAGCCCTCCACTACTTCTTCCTAGCCCTCCCTGCTCACTTGCTTTCACTCCCTTTGGGCCTAGGTGTTTCTGTGGGCCCACCTCTCAACGTCCTCTAACCTGGGCCTCTCCCTTCAGCCATATCACATTTCTTGGAGTTGCCTGAACCTATCAAACCTCTCATACCTCTGCTCTGCTGCAACACTAAACTCTCAATGACAACACTTCTCTCTCCCTTCACACCTTCCATGGTTTCTCATTGTTGAAGACACCACCTTGGAAGGGGGAGCTTCCTGGGTCTTCCTGGGCTGGGGGCTGGAGATACCTATGGCTGGGGACCCACAGCTACTCTCAGCCATTGGACTCCCTGTATTGGTTGCCATTAATGGTCTATATACATCTTGCCTCAGTCTCTTGCAGTCCCCCCATTGTAGCCAAGTTGCGGCCCTTACGGCAGGCTGGTGCTACTGGAGTCAGGTCACTTCCAGCCTGGGAGCTAGCTCTGGAAGAGGGGCACCAGAAGGGCCTGTGGAGACAAAGGGCTTGTTTCAGGAACTGGGCTGTGGGTCCTGGCAGGATTTCAGTGGACTGGGGGTGAGGGGAAGGGGTGAGGGCATTACATTTTGAACCAAAGCATGAGCAAATATAGGATGGCAAATATGAATCCAGTGGGCTCCAAGGCCAGGGCACACCAACCTGGCTGAAGCATGACATCCTCCCTGCATGCTCAGATGGAAGAACAGCTGCAGAAGGGGGAGACTAAAACCTTAGCATCAGAGACAGGACTCGAGTCCAGGTTCTGGGTTCTTGTCCTTAGCTCTAGTCCCAGACATGATTCCTTTCAGTGCCCAGTGGTTGGCCTGCTGAACAGGCTCTGGGCCTGGCAGTGGCTTCAGTGTTGCCAGAGTAGAGCCTGTTTAGTCTCAAATAGAGCCTGAGCCTGAGCCAAGGATGATAGGCCAGGAGAAGCAGTGAAGAAAGACACAAGGTTGAGTGGAAAGGATAGAGTTGTGCCTGGAGGACTCAGGTTCCATTTAATCTGGCAGCCTTTGGGGCAAACAGGAAAGGGACATGGGGATGGAGGAGGAGAAGGCAAAGCCCCTTCCTTCTACCCCCCTCCATCCCTGTCTATTCCCACTACCACAGGCAGAGTCAGGGAAACATCATTGTTAGCTGCACCAGATTCACTGGGGACCTGGGTGTTGCCAGGCTGGGCATCTTAGGCAGGATGTTGGGGAGGTCTGATTGAATGTGACTTGGAGCCTGTTTTCTGAAGCCTTTCTTCTAGTCCCTGGGCCATGAGCTGGCCTCTTACTGCCTCCTTCATCTTTAGTGCTGGAATTAAGTGAGACTGGACTGAGCCTGTGGAGTTACCACTGCTGGGACCAGAGCAGTAGAAGGGTGTTTCAGAAGGGTAAGGGTGGCAGGCCAGCAGAGGGAGGGTGAGAGGAGGGAACAAGCCCCTTTAGGACCTTATGGAGATGATCTCAGTGTCAGCTGGGTCTGTCCAGACCCCGCGGGAAGCCGATGCTATAGTTCATCAGAATAATAGGAAGATGTTTTAATGAAAGGTGTTTACAAGGCATGGGCACAGGGAAACCACAAGACAGAGTGTAGCCTTTTGGACCACAGGAATGCTACCACCCCCTGTTGGAGAGTGTCAAGCAAGGGACAGTTACTGGAACTCAGAGATGAACGGGCTTCCTGACAGCAACTGTGATCTTGGTTCAGACCAGTGGACTGCTGGGTTCCTGCTGAGACAAGAAGCAGGGCATTTACACCCCCACCTTCTGCATGCCCTTGCCTCTGTCCCTCTGAACTCTTGCTGGCTGAACCTAACCAGGAGCAGAGAGCAGGAGGGCCATGTTGATTGTCTATATATGTCAGGGAGTGTGGTGGCCCATGTGGGGAGAGGGTCTCCAGAGGGATAAGGACAGCTATAGGTGGAGGGCACCTTGTGGAGATTTGCTGCCACTGTTTCCTGGGCCCCTGGCCCTGAGTGTGTACTCACATTAAGAGGGTATGGGGCCTTCTGAGCCCCAGCCTTGATCCCACTTTGCTCTGGATGTCACACTCTGGGAGCCAGGATTGAGACTTCCAGCCTTGCTACCCTCAGGTTTCCCTCCTTGGGAGACCTACATTCTGTCAGGGGTCTCCATTCCCAGTACCTTTTCAGCTTCCTTCTTCCTCTTCTCATGCCAGAAAATGTACCATCTGGGCCAGGAAACAAAGTGGAGATGGGTCAGTCAAGGAGTAGGTTTGTCTTCTCTGGGGATGCTAGGGCTTGAGAGTCACTCACCCACTTCCAGCTATGGCTGCCAGAAGCAGAATAATGCCAAAGCTCACAACCCATGCGAGGATTCTCCGGCTCCTGGCTGGGGGGTATAAAAGGGGGAGCCACATGTTTGGGGGGCAAGGAGGGCCATCTGGGCCCAGAGAGACTACATTCTTTCCTCCTTATATTTGTCCACTCAGTTATTTGTTTGCAAACACTTACTGAGCACCTACTGTATACCTGGCATATATTAGAGATAAATGAGACATGGTCCCTGCTCTCTATGAGGTAGACAAGCAAACAATTATGGTGTGGTGTCCCAGAGAAGCAGAGGAGGACAGAACAGAGGAAAAGTAGCCACAAGGAAGGCTGATGAACCTCAGGCGGGGGAACTTGTCAGGGAAACCTTCTTAGGAAATAGGACTTCTGACTGGACTTTGAAAAACAAGTACGAGTTCAGTTTTGGTCCCATGGTCAAGTAAAAAATTGTGCTGTAGGCAGAGGACACAGAATGTTCAAAGGAAAAGCTTGAAGTCATCTGTATGTACAGCATGTCAGTAGCTCAGTGTGGCTGGGGAGGAGTGGGGTGGTGGAAGGTGTGCAGGGGCTATTTGCACAAGGCCTTACGAAGAGCTAGGCCTTATCTGGGGGGCAGTTGGGCTACAAACAGGGAGTGTCATAGGAAGATTTGCTCCTTGAGAAGGTTCCTTGGTTGATGAGTAAGATGTGGCCAAGAGGGGCAGGCAGGCCAGCTGAGTGACACTAGCATAACCCAGATGAGAAGTGAGGATGCCTGAGGAATGGTGGTGGATACTGCAATGAAAATATGGTAACACATTTAAGAATTATTTAACAAGATTTGGTGATTGCATGTCTTGAATATGGGGGAGGGAAGTTCCTGGTTTAGGAGGCTTAAGGCTTGTGTGGAGCCATTTGCTGAGAGGGACTCTGAGGGAAGAGCAGATTGGGGGTGGGGGAGTTGAGTTTGAATACGTTTCCAAGCATGCTTGCTTTGAGGGCCCGAGAGACCTCCAGGGGAGATGTCCTAGAGGCAGATGGCTTTATGGCTCTGAAGTTGGACATGTGGCATCAAGAAATCCCAGGAGTTGCTATGTTCTCTGGATGGACAGCAAAAAGAGCTTGAGGCTGAGCAGAGGAGGAAGACAATCCAAAGACAACAATGACCCAGGATGGAGTACGGGCAGGTTGGATGCAGGATGCTAGCTGCCACTGACCTGGGCAGATAGTTGGGTCTTTGCAGGTAAGAAGGTGTGTCTTGCAGCTGGCACAATTGATGACCTCCAATGTGGGGTGTAGCTCTGTGAAAGGGGATAGGCAGGAGCCTTAGCCAGGGCCGTGTGCCCCTCACCTCTCATTCCCCCACCCACAAGTCCCCATACATACTCACCACAAGACTTGTTACAAGCTGCCCAGGAGGGTGAGATGATAGAGAAACTGAGGTGCTGGGGGAGGCAGACAGAGCCATGAAGGGTTGGGGTATCATCAAGAAAGGGAACTTGGAGAAGGTGTGGACAGGTGCTCAGTATGTGGGCAAATGGGGATCCTGGGGAGGGACATGGGAGGGACTGCAGACTGGGCTCTGTTCTTCTCAGTCTTGGGGAAGGTGAAGGGCTGGGTGGTGGGCAGGGGCCATCTCCACCTCTCACCCTTCTCCCTCAGCTTCTTAGACGTCTCATTCAGCCTGTTAGTAAACACCTGTTTCTGGACATTAATCTCTCTCAGAAGTGATGGTTTATCTGAATGGAAAAGGAAGAGAGGAAGAGGTGTGCTCATCATCTACATTTTATAGGTGGAAACAATTACATAACTCAAGATTGGGAATTCGAGCCAGGTTTTTCAAACAGTAACTTCACGGAGCACATAGATGCTGGGTCAGTCACCACTCTTCACCACATATCCCCACCCCAGGCCAGCAGGCCCTCTAGAAGTGCCTTGGGGTTCTGGGTTTTGTCAACAGAAGCCTGGGGGCTTCCTCACCATCTCGAAACTTCTTAATGGCTTCATCTATGTGATTGAATAATTTGGCTGTTGCTTCCTCCATATGGGCATGATCTGAGAATGAGATGTGGGATGAAGGGCAGTTGGCGGTATAAGATCCCAGGTCAGGTAAAGGGCCCAGCCCTGATCCCTGGTGTCTAGGCTGTGCCTCACCAAGATACCAGGGTTCTGGGAAGACATAATCCTTCTTCAGGAATAGGGAGTGGATGCTTTGGGAGAGATCTCTGGGTGGTCCTGGAGAGCCCCATAGAATCTGTAGGTCATAGTCTATCAATGCAGGCAGTTGTGGCCAGCAGTGGAAGCAGCTCTTCCCATTGATGGCAGGCAAGAGACAGGCAAGCAGGAGAAGCAGCATCTTCTGGGGTCTTCACTCTGTGCTCTTAATACCCTGCCTAGCAGTTCCACATGGAATGATGGTAGTTCCTCTCCCTGGAAACCACATTCTCTTTGCAGAACAAAGATAAATTCCACAGGGCACAGTGAGGGCCAGTTATGATACAAAACTAGGCTTTGGTGCCAGAACCAACTCAAGGTCTCAGTATCTCCCTCTGAATATGAGGTCACTGATGTTCTTGGGGAGGATTCTTGTGAGGATCAGAGAGGTGGCTGTGCAGTCTTGTGTTGATGATCAGCTCTCCTGATGGTATTTACCATGTATGAAGCAGTTCAATTGGCTGAAATTTGAGAAGTCAGGAGGCAACAGCACAAAGAGAGGGCTAGTTATGTAAAGAACGTGATTCACTTTTCCACATAGAGATGGTCAGCCAAGGGGAAGCTTATGGAACATACATCTTTTTCATGGCACATATAAATTAGCAGCTGTCTTGTGCCTGCCCAAGCCAAAGGAACATAGCTATTCCTACCACAGTGTAGTGTAGACACACTGTAGACAGAGTTCCAGCCTGTAACTGGATATACAGAGAGAGAAGTCATCTTTGGACCAGTAGTTCTTGTGTGTAATGTGCATTGAAGAAAAACAAAGCTCCTTACTTGTGGGTAAAGAAAAAGCCAGTGGAATATTTGTCACTGCTTAGCTGGTAAGCTTTTTGTCTTCCATGCCATGCTTCCAATCAGCTTCTGAGTGTCTGAGGCTGGATTATGAGCAGCTGAAAGCCACTAGGCATTTGAAGAATGCTTCTTACATGAACAAGAGGAAAAACAAAACAAAACAAAACAAAACAAACAAAACCTAATAGCAAGAAATCAAAACAAAAGCAAACAAAAACCACAGGAAAAAGAAAGGGTACAAAGATATGGTGAGAAACAAAAGAAAACTTAGAACACCACTATTTAAATAAACTATTGCTTTCTCCAGACAAGAAGAGACTGCTATGTAAAGGAAAAATAGAATAACAAAAGTTTTTGGAGATTAAAAATATAATAGCAGGAATTAAAAAAAATTCCATAGAAGTGTTAGGAGGTAAAGTTTTGGAAATCTCCCAGACAGAAATACGGAAAGACAGACACAAGAAATAGGGAAAAAAAGATACATTAAATAGTCAATCCATGAATTCCAATATCCAGCTAATACAAGTTTCAGAAAGAACAGAGAAAATTGAGGGAAAAATTATTCATGATAGAAATTTGGTAGGAAGTATATATGGATAGGAATTTTATCTTATAGGGAGAGGAATTTGGAGGACAGGCATCAGGATTTGCCAGAAGAAATAGTTGAATTGGTAAATTCCATCAGGTGGGCTCTGAGATGAGAGAGTGATTCTGAGTACTGCACAGCTGATGCTTTCCCAATGACTCTGGACAGTTTTGAGGTTAAGGAATTAGCATACTTTTTCTACTCAGGCCATGCTCTGGAAGGGAAGGTCCCGAATCAGGGCTGGAAAAAACAGTGCTCTCTCCCCTGATGCCCTGGATACCATTCAGAGGTATATAATTATGCAAGTCAGTAGCTTACAATGTTTGCCATCACTTGTGGTGGGAGGGGGGCTCTGCCCAGCCTGTGTGAAAACACAGTAATGACAGAAATGATACAAGGAAGAAATTTTACAAAGACATGTATTTCCATATTGAAGGGGCCCACTGAGCAGGTATTGAGGGGTAGGAATAGGAAAAACCACACGAAGGCACAGAGAAAAAAAACAGACCATGTACAATAATCAGAATTACTTCAGACTTCTCAAGAGCAATGTAGGAAATAGTAGACAATGGAACAATTTTATATTCTGAGAAAAAATGTATCCATGTTATAACTCCATACTGAGGAAAATGTCAATCAGGGAGGAAGAAAGACTATTTCAACCAGACAAGGTTTAAAATTAAACTCTATTATCTTTTCTCAAAAAACTATTGGGGGATATGCTCCAACTAAATGAACAAAACAAGGAAACAAGATGAAGACATGAAGTCAGGAAATGGAAAATCTAACCTTGCAGAGAGGTGAGGAGAACCTCCATAGTGACACCCCAGTATGACAAGTGGTCCAGACTGGCTCTCCTTGGATGAAGAAAATCCTGAAATAGGCGGCCTAGGTCAGCCTCCTCTGGGCACTGGGTTCCTTTTCTGACTTTATTTGGTCTTATTTGTTCTCTTTTGCTTTTCCTTGGCAGAAATAGTCTTTTCTCAAAATGGAGGTGGTAATGTTCAATACTCAGGATTTTGTTTTGGGTGGTGAAATAATCGGAGTAGGTCTTTAGAGTGCTTTAGCATCAAGCTATCAGGAAACTCCTGCTGAAGTAAAGGGAATATTCTGTAAGAAGCAGTCATACTTGTTAGAGTTCTACCCTAGGATTTGGGTCTAAGCCCTAGAGTGTGCTACATCTTCCTTTACCTTAGTTTATGCTTGTCCTCTGGGAAACTTGTGAGGGTAAGTTTCAGGTGTCACTTTGTCCTTGGCCCAATACCATCTCAATTCACCCTGGCATCCTAGTGTCAGTCAACTAAAGTGGTGCTGACTCTTTGAAGTGGTAAAGATTTTATTTATTTATTTGACCCACAGAGATCACAAGTAGGCAGAGAGGTAGACAGAGAGAGAGCAGGGGCAAGGGAGGTGGAAGCAGGCTCCCTGCTGTGCAGAGAGCCCGATGTGATGAGGGGCTCTATCCCGGGACGCTGAGATCATGACCTGAGCTGAAGGCAGAGGCTTAACCCACTGAGCCACCCAGGCACTCCTGAAGTAGTATTTAAATGTAGAATCACAGAGACCATGGGCTTGGGGAGCTTTTGATCTAACACATTGCCTATGACTGGTAGCTCTTCAACCTATTCATTTTCTAGCCTCGACTTGCTTGCCTTGATTTCTCTTCTTATTTCTAATTAGTTCAATAGTTTGTTGTGTACTTGGAATGAATTAGGAATTTGGATTGAATTAGAAATCTAAATAGTAAAGGCAGCCCTTTCCATTACTAGGCATCTTGGGGGTATTAGAGCCTTCTTCTGTATATCGAGATCATATCCATCCTGTGCCTCCTGCAACTTGGGCATGTCTCCTAACCCTGACACAAGAAAGCTCATGCAGTTTTTGAAGACACAAATAAAGCTGCTTCTTTGGGGCCAAACATCCCTCTGGCCCAAGAGGTTTTTTTTTTAGGTTCCCATCTTAGATTTGGTTTCCTGTCCCTCCCCACATTCTGATTGCTTTCCTTTCAAACCATTTCTCTCTGCCAGAGAGAATGGTATTGGCAAAATTTGTTTGATACCATCACACACAGATTTCCCTGCGTATTGCTTCATAACCAGTTACCACAAACTTAGTGGCCTGAAACAACACACATTCATCATTTTATGGTGTCTTATAGGTCAGAAGTCTGGGCAAAGCTCACCTGGTCTCTATCAGGGTCTCACAAGGCTGAAATTGTGATGTTATAGAGTTGACCCTTGAACAACATGGGTTGTAACTGTGTGGGTTCAATTATAAGTATAATTTTTCTTTTCAACAAATACACTATATTACTATAAATGCATTTTTTTCTTCTTTATGGTTTCTTAACATTTTCCTTTCTGTAGTTTATTGGAAGAATAAAGTATATAATACATATAACAGGAAATATATGTTAATTACTTATATTATTGTTAGGCTTCAGGTCAACAGTAGGCTACTAGTAATTAAGTTTTTGGGGAGACAAAAGTTATGTGTGGATTTTCCACTGTGTGGAAGGGGTTGGTGCCCTGAATCCTTATGTTGTTCATGGGTCAAGTGCATATCCTAAGCTAATCAGAGGAGTGAAATCCTTTATATTCACAACACTGCCTTATGTTCAGGGGCACAGGATTATACTGGGTATGGACAATAGGGGACAGGAATATTGGGGATCATCACAGAATTCTGCCTGCTACACCTCTAAATCTCAAATATTTACTCTTTGGATCTGTGATAATGTCACTAGACCCCTCCCCACATATTTAGTCACCAATTTGGGTTATGAAACTATGCCTCCCCATAGCCCCTTAGTGTGAAAATAAGTTAGTTAGAGGCATAGCTGCATTGGCACCAACTGACACCAACTACCTGGAGTTAGTGCATAGTCCATAGGTTAAGGACACCATCCTTCATAAGACTGACCTCACTTCAGACACTAGCCACAGGGTCTGGGGTTCTAGGCCATCTTCATTTCTTACCACCTGGTTACAAATATGGGTTTTCCCACTATCCCCTCAGGTTTCATGATTTGCTAGAAAGACTCACAAAACTCAGGCAAGTGCTATACTTATGATTATAGCTTTATTATAAAGGATACAAATTGGAAACAACCAAATGAAGAGACAAATAGGAGGGTCGCAAATGTGAAGTTTCTGTATCTTCAGGATGCCTTACCCTCCTGGTACATTCCTTTTCCAGGAAGCTCACTTGAGCTTCAGTGTCTACAATTTTTGTTGGGGTTTCATTGTATAGACGTGATTGAGTCATTGGCTATGTGATTAAATCCAACCTCCATCGTCCCCCTCCTCTTAGAGGTTCGGCTGATACCATCTGGATCAAAGTGCAAACACTCTAAACACATGGTATTTCTGGCCTAGCCAGATCCCGTCTTGAGTCACTGCCTTAGCATAATGTCAGCAGTAAGCCCCCCATAAGTAGCAAAGACATTCCTATCACTCAGGTTAAATCCAAGGATTTAAAGGTTACTTCCTAGGAACCAGAGAGAAAGGCCAGCCAGATTCTTTACCACACAACAACAGCACATAAAGTTATTTCTGCTCATTAATATTTTGGCTTGAATACACCTGGATCCAGTTGTAATACTTCTGTTGGAAACTTCTGAGAGGTTCTCAAGTTCCAGGTCCAAGCTTTTGATTCACAGGTGCTGAATTGTGGAGATAGCAGGATAGTAGCAATGAGAGATCTCGGGACAAGTGGAACATTACAAGGGAATCTATTTTCACAGAGTGCACAAGCAGATTAGCTTAGTTGGTCAGCAAAACTAGCTTA